CTCCGTAATCACAAGTAAACTGTCTGACCTGTCAGGTGTTTGTAATGAGAAGTGTACCACAAAAGAGCTATGGTTTGCAGACAGTTATAAGAGTTGATGTTATAAATATGCCTTTTGGATATACTGCGTGAACTTATTGTCCCATTAGCTCGGAGAGGTTTATTTTCCCTTTAAAATAAGTTTTGTCAATTGTTTTGTTTATTGGTCTACTTATGGTTTCTGGTTTCTCTTTCTATAAACCTTGCATTGGGTTAGTCAATCAAATAATTATCTTGTGCTTCGTTCCCATCTTTATGAATTATGTTGCATTGATAAGGAGTTATCACAAACTAAGACTGTTTGGTTGTGCTATCTTACAATCAATATAACTGTATGGTGTCGCCGATGTAATGGTTAAGAATCCGCTCAACAGCACTCAAAATGCTAGAGGGAAATGCTGGTATCGTCACATTTTTAAAATCCGGTCCCTTTGACAACACTATTCCAAGATTTATTTTGAGGAAACTGGTTAACACAGATATTCCCAGGTATTAAAAAATATAATATAAAACAATTTGATAAGCAGTTTATACACAAAGAAAATTTAAAAAAGTATATGCATATGTAGTGGGACGTACTGCTGCGTCCAATTAACCTAATGCGTTCGGGCGTGAGTTCAATCATAATGATGCGGGACCATATAAAAAGGGTTTTGAGTCACTGTTTACATGTGGGTGTCGTTTGCGTGGTGCGTCATTGCCCGGGCACCGCCCCTTCTGGTTCCTCATCCGTTCTCACTTGGAGGTATGTGTTTGGCTGACTAGTTAAACAGAGATGCGTGATTTCATGTAAAAAACTATTCCGTTTTAGCTTTGAGGATGAATCGCTGCTGTGGGCTGTTGGCAGCTGCTACTCCCCTCTGGCGTTCCTCTTGCGTGGTCCCGCATCTGGTGATGCGTTGAGCTTGAGGGTAAATCGCAACTGTGGGCTATTGACAGTTGTTACTCTCCTTTGGCGTTCCTCATGGTGCGGTCTTGTGTGCGCTTGACATGGACGCGCGACTTATGAAATGAAGGTACGTAAAACTTTCACTATTGAGTGGCGCTTCCTTTTTAGACTGCAAGTATATGTGTTATGTTTATATTTTAGGAGGAATAGACTGGTCAGTGACACCTGCGGGGCAACGCTGTTTGACGCTGCTGCTTTATACACTCGGATTCCTGCTGTTTTGTACGTCCGGACTTTTCCCGGCAATAACATTTCGCATCAACACGTGTGCACGATTTATGCGTCTTGTGTGACGCCTGCTCTACAGCACTCGGCTTGGTGATTGCTGGGTTGTTTCTCCAACTAGTCTTTCAAATTGTGTGATTTGCTGTTTATGTATATATATATATATGTATATACGTATATGTGTGTATTTATTTATGAATTTTCTGGTTTGTAGATTTAAATGTTTATTATTTGTGTCTTTTGTGGTTAAGTGTCCTTGTTGTATGTTGAGACCAGTGCAGTAATTTCTGCTCTCATTACAGGAGCCGAGGCTTCAAGGCAGGCCGCTAGTAGGCCCCTGGAGGTTTTGTCACTGAGTGCTGTGCGTTCATGCTTGACCGTATTGGAGTGTGTGTGATGCCTGTGCACAGGGTGGTAAGAGTGATTTATAGGGGCCTTGTGCTCACTACAGTAGTGTACCTGCCATTGTTAAGCCTCGGCTTCCTTCTTGACTTCTTGAGTGTTGCACGATGACCCAGTCTTTTCATGCTGTCCTAAGATTGTTGTTGACTATAATAAAATCTTTTGTACTTTTGTATCCACGTCTCTGGCCCTTCCTCGATAACAACGTTCCTGTGTGTCCTTTTTGTGGGTTATTAAACCCATGAGTATTAATATTTCCCTGTTAAACAGGGTGGCGTAGTCGTGCATATCTAGAGGTAGTCAGAGAGCCCCTCAGCTCAAGCGGCCCCCCGCTACATTCTAGCGTAGTCGGTAGGGTCGTGTGTCAGTTGTTTAAGGCAGAGACATGAGTGTTTAAAACAAATTAAAAAAAATATAAAATAAAAAATTTTTGGAGGGGGAAATTGTTATTGTTTTCTTCTCTTCTTTGGGTTTGTGGTAGGAAGTAGATGGTGGCGATCCTGTTGCAAAGGGTAGGCGTAACCCGCTGAGATAAGTTTCTTCCGTGGTGGTGAGTGATTGTGTGGTTCGCAGCTATGGAAGATGAATTGCGTGAATTGAGAGAATTGGTAGCACAATTAAAAGCAGATAATGAAATGACGGCAAGAGGTAAGGGAGGAGATTCGATACCGGTCGGAGGACGAGAGGGGGGACCAAAATCAAATTATTAAGGCGTTGCGTGGTCTGTATGGGTGTACACAATCGTATGTAGTTCAACTTACCCAAGGTATGCTCCAACTTAAAAATTTTCAGTCATATACTCGATCGCCGCAGGTTAATCTAATTATTTGCAGACGGTGTCAGCGGCCTGGCCATTTTTCCAGGGATTGCGAGGGGGAGCGTAGTCCTCCTCGGGTTTCGCCGGCTGGTGCAGATTTAGCGTCATTGGGGGGTGGCCAGTCTCAGTCTGAGCAACCGTCGGAAAACTACTGCCCGCTAAGCTGCAGGGCCGCAGCTTGGTTGGGGAACAGTCAGGCTCGTATGTTTCGACGGGTTCCGAGTTTGTCTCGTTTCATGTCAACTTGTCGTCAGCTTGTCGTGCGCGTGGGGGGGCGGGTTAAAGTACGTGGACGTCGGGCTACTCGCAGTCCAGGTGGCACTACGAAATTAGTTGTTGCCACCTGCTCTGTACAGCTTTCAAATGGCACAGTACTGTTTGAATCAGTGGATTCAGCCCTTCCAGCTGGTTTGCTGGTGTCTCCTGATCTAGTGAGAGTGAATTCTGGTACTGTCTATGTATCCATGTATGATGGGGATTTGGGGCTGCACTAGCCTTATTTCTCATGGTATTCCTCTGTGTGATGTTCCTGTGCGTCAGCGCTATAGGCGAATTCCTCCTTCTGAGTCTGAGGTGGGGACGGCGCACATTAACCAGTTGCTGGAGAAGTATTTGTCTGTGTTTTCCATGTATGATGGGGATTTGGGGCTGCACTAGCCTTATTTCTCATGGTATTCCTCTGTGTGATGTTCCTGTGCATCAGCGCTATAGGCGTATTCCTCCCTCTGAGTTTGAGGTGGGGACGGCGCACATTAACCAGTTGCTGGAGAAGTATTTGTCTGTGTTTTCCATGTATGATGGGGAGTTGGGGCTGCACTAGCCTTATTTCTCATGGTATTCCTCTGTGTGATGTTCCTGTGCGTCAGCGCTATAGGCGAATTCCTCCCTCTGAGTCTGAGGTGGGGACGGCGCACATTAACCAGTTGCTGGAGAAGTATTTGTCTGTGTTTTCCATGTATGATGGGGATTTGGGGCTGCACTAGCCTTATTTCTCATGGTATTCCTCTGTGTGATGTTCCTGTGCATCAGCGCTATAGGCGTATTCCTCCCTCTGAGTTTGAGGTGGGGACGGCGCACATTAACCAGTTGCTGGAGAAGTATTTGTCTGTGTTTTCCATGTATGATGGGGAGTTGGGGCTGCACTAGCCTTATTTCTCATGGTATTCCTCTGTGTGATGTTCCTGTGCGTTAGCGCTATAGGCGGATTCCTCCCTCTGAGTCTGAGGTGGCGACGGCGTACATTAACCAGTTGTTGGAGACACAGGTGGATGTTGGAGCATCAGTTTCGTGAAGGCGCCTCAGGAGGGTGGTGTTGCGTATACGGTTGCACCTACTGATTTGAGTAGGGTTAAACATGTGCACCGATTCCTGTTGAAAACTCGGATCGGTGTGACCCCTTCATCTGATTTGCCTGATAGTCCGGTAGCGTAACATGAGTGCCACCAGGAGGAGGAAGAGCCAGAGGAAGGAGACTAGTTTGTCTTGGTTCCCGAGGATCCGCAAGACTGCCGCAGGCAGCCGCCCCGAGAGATAGCCTCTCCAAGACCTGGAGGAAGGCATGTGGTACCCTGTGAGTCTGAAGTAGGTCCCCAGCCTTTAGTAACTCTCCCACTGGCTCGCTTGAGACTAGTGAAAGTGGGGTCAGGAGGACGGAGTACGGCTGGTCAGCATTTGCATGTTCATCATCTTCCACGATTCGTGGGTAGGTGGTGTGTCTGGCACAGCGTGTAGTACCGCTGTGGTTTGGTTACGACCTTGGAGCTGAGAGTCCTGGGGGGGGTGTGGTTAGACGCTCTACCGTCGGGACGACGATACAAGAGGCTGGAATCGTTTGTGACAGAATCAGTTAAGTGATTGACAGTTGTGGTGTCCTATCAGAGAAGAATATGTACCCTGAGTCACGTCACGTCTTGTCCCTCTTTGTAAGTCATCCACTACCGCCTCAGGTATGTGGTGGTAGCGGTTGGTTTACATCAGCTTGATTTTTCTGTAATTATTTTTCTTAGTTCAGCTGTGTGTATGTTGTTAGATTTTGCTGTCATCTAACTGGGTGTGTCATTATCGACCTTGATTGTTGCATATTTTTATTTTCTCTTGTTTGTGATATTTTCTGTGGTTATTTTGGGGTTTTGTTGAACTCAAGTGTGTTTGTTTTCTCAGGAGCTGAGGTGGCCAGGCGGAAGGACCGTCTCGTGCATGGTGGTGGTGTTGCAGTGGGTGACACTTTTTGGAGTGCCTGTGTGTGTGATCTAGTGCACGGTGACGTGTGTGTGCGTGAGTAGGATTGCGCTTTTGGAAAAGCCATTAAGTGGTCCTTCTGCCGGCAGACTCAGCCTGGTGGTTTGGTATAATCATTCGTTGTCTGTCTAACACCTGTGAATTGTATTTGTAGATCTTCTTCTTGCAGTTCCTCCTACCCTCGTGGGTACAGGATTGTGCTGGTGTGGCCATTATCTATTGTCATCTGTGATTACCTCACAGATGACACAGATTTTTGTTTGCTGTTGTTTTATTTCTGTGTTTTTGCTGCCGGGATGTAACTAGCCTTCTCGTATATGATCGCCAAATTATGTTCGACATCCGAGCGTCCTGTGAGGCCTTGGGGCTGTTTAGAGATCGTTTGGGAGAACAAGCTGGTGACCACGGTGGGAGGCCACCAGCTTGTTCTCCCAAACGATCTCTAAACAGCCCCAAGGTTAGACTACCTGCGCTGTGATCTGTGATCTGTCAGGTAGCCAGACTACCTGCGCTGTGATCTGTGTGATCTTCCCTGGAAAAAACGCCACAGGAGACGTGGAAGACGTGCCGGAGTGCTTGTTCGCCGTAAAGCTTACCTGGGGTCCTCGGACGTGCCTTACTCTTGTCTCCTCTGCGGTGGGGGCTGCGGTCATCCCGCTGTTTGTGACTGCCGGTGTTCAGAGGTCCCACGGTTGCGATAGATTCGACCTGTCTTCCCCTGCTCGATTGCAGTTGTGTCACAGCCTGTTGTGGCTTCTTCGAATCAGAGGCGTGGTGCTCCGTGGGCGAGTACCGAGCCGGGAGATCCAGTGTCGGTGAGGAAGTGTCGGCCGGACTATCGATGCGGTGTGAGGGCGGCTAATCTGTGCGCATTTCGACGGGCCTCAAAGCCAGATAGCTTGGATTTAACTCTTAATATGGCCCTGATTAACGTCAGATCATTGGCTAACAAAACATTTGTGCTAAATGACTTTTTTACATCACATAAACTGGACTTTATGCTGCTGACTGAGACTTGGCTTCATGCTTGTGAGTCTGCTTCCCTTTCCGAGCTTCTTCCTCCAAATTGTACATTTTTTATCTCTCCCCGGATTACTAGTAAAGGTGGAGGGCTCACCACTGTGTTTAAATCAACTTTCCAGTGTCGGATGTCTGCCTCTGTCAACTATTCGAGTTTTGAGCTCCAGCTATTCGAACTAAATCCCTCCACCCCGACGCTATGTGCAGTTGTGTATCGTCCACCGAAATTCAACAAAGATTTTGTGCAAGACTTTGCTGACTTTGTAGCACGTCTAAGGGTAAACTATGATCACTTTATAATTTGTGGTGATTTTAACTTGCATGTATGTTGTGAAAACAAACCTATGGTTAAAGATTTTGTAAATCTTTTAACCCTTTAAGTGTCACCCCCCTTTTTTTGAATATACATGAAAATGCACATTTCGAACTTAAATGGTTGTAATTCAAGAATGCTTTGGAATATAGACGTAAGATTGGTCTTGTTTTAAAGAAGACATTTGGCAGATTTTTGTAGAAGTAAAATAAATTAAGAAAGTGAAACAGAAAAAAAGTTATAGAAGTTTGAGTTTATGAAAATGTACAATGTAAAAAATTTAATTATTCATATTTTATATAAAATACATATTTTCAAAACCTGGGCGACTCTAAAACTGCAAAAAAATCAAAGACAAAAATCTGAACAAGTTGTGTTTCAAATTTTAGGTTGATATCTCAAAAAATGAGCTTTCAGTAAGATTTTGTTTGGGCGCAGTACCAAACTTTTTCACTAGATGACAACCAGACTCCATTACTGCCCATATAAGGGCGCCTCCATTTCCATATGTGTTTTGAGTGATATGAACCATTATTTCCACAATTTTCATACAATTTATGAAGTAGACATCCTATTCAGAAGTAATATGAGAAGTTTGGCAGATTTTGATATGATTTCAACCTCTAAGAAACATAAAAAGAACACACATGTGCGTTTTAGCTTCCTGCCACATCATATAATTTTTTTCTTTATATATAAAAAAAAAAAATTCAGACCTTTTTTTTTTAAATAATTGAATGGATGCTATCTTTTGCACTCTTGGCATGAAAACAAACTGAGGGTTCTACCCTTCTTTCATGATTTTTCATGTTCATCACTATTTCAAAATAAAGGTCTAAGAGTATGAAAATATTATTGTTGCAAATTGATAAATTACGGCTCCTCTGTAATTTATTTTGAAAATCAATCACCAAATATGGAAACTAGAGATTGTAAGCTTTCAAATGATATATAGTTTGTCAAGATTAGTTTAGGTTTAGTATAGGATATTACTGTTTTAAAAATGTAAAGGATTTGGGCCCACCGGTGGGCCCGTGACACTTAAGGGGTTAAATGCTTTTAATTTAACTCAGTCGGTGTCCGGTCCAACACATGAAAAGGGACACACATTGGACCTTGTGTTGTCTCATGGCTTGTGTGTACATGTAAATGAAATATGTAATATATGTATTTCGGATCATTTCCCCATTCTATTTACGATTACAGTCCCATGCTCTGTGGTTAAGTCCCCTTCTGCACATTGCCGTCGTACAATTAATAGCCAAACCCCGGCACAGTTCTCTGCTGCTTTCAGAGATTCTGTGCTTTATGACAGATGGTGGTGATGGTATTGGCGCTGATGGACTCATTTTAATTCGATCTGCACAAATATCTTGGACTCTGTAGCACCATTAAAGATGAAACGCACTAAAGCACTTTCAGAGCCCTGGCTAAATGATACTACCCGAGTGATCAGACGTGCCTGTCGGCAAGCGGAGAGAAGGTGGAAGAAGGATAAACTCAGAGTGTCATACGAAATCTTACATCAATATCTATCTGACTATCAGAGAGCTGTAAAATTAGCAAAATCAGATTATATCTCGAAACTTGTTGCAAACAATCGGCATAGGCCACAGGTTCTTTTTAATATGTTTAGCAGCATTACAAACCCTCATAGCGCTGCCCCTATTACACCTACATTGGATCTTTGTAACTTGTTCCTAAAATTCTTTGTTGAGAAGATTTCTGCCCTTAGATCATCTGTAATTACATCCTATGACTGTTCCTATCCTATCCCTCTGTTCCTCCTCTTTGCCCTGCGGTATTAGATCAGTTTGAACCTATATCAATCTCCTCCTTATCTGAGGTGGTCCACCATCTGCGGCCTACAAATTGTACTTCAGACAGCATTCGTTCTCGTTTGATTAGAGAAGTCTTTGAAATTATTGGACCATGTATTTTAGTATTGATAAATACTTGCCTTGTTTCTGGTTATGTTCCGTCCGCTTTTAAACATGTGGTTGTGCAACCCTTACTAAAAAAGGAAAATCTAAACCCCTCTGTTCTCTCCAATTTCAGGCCAATCTCCAAACTGTCCTTTTTATCGAAAGTCCTGGAGAAAGTAGTCCTTACACAGCTGCAAACGTTTTTAATTAATAATAATGTTTATGAAAAATAAAATAAAAACCTTTTCATGGGCATTTTGTTTTTATACTATGAGACCGTTCAGCACCGCATGACTGATTTTTACGCCAAACGGCACATGTGGATTCCAAATTTTGTTTCTTAGGATAAACAAAGACTTCTGGTAATAGGCAAGGCAAGTTTATTTATATAGCACATTTCATACACACTGGTAATTTAAAGTGGTTACATAGGAAATTAAAATAATCTGAAGAAATAAGAATAATTAAAACAGTTCAGAATAAAAAATAAAATAAAGTACAGTAAAAACAGTCGGACGAACATTGGCACAGTGCTCATTCAGTAAATGCATAGCTAAACAGATGTGTTTTGAGTCTGGATTTGAATGTGACTACTGTAGGAGCACATCTGATCTCCTCTGGAAGCTGGTTCCAGCTGCGGCTGGCATAATAGCTAAAAGCAGACTCTCCGTGCTTAGAGTGAACCCTTGGTATTTCTAGCTGATGTGATCCTAATAAGGTTGTGTATGACAGTTAATAACCTGTTTTTGAAGCAATTCACATTCAGAAATGAACACACACACACACACACTCACTCAATCAATCACTGGCTCACACCCAAAATAACCTGAGGCTTTAAAGAAGGCTCTCATAGTTATGTAGTGTATCTTTTATCTATTATTCCCCCGTTTTTGTAGGGGCTAAGGATTTTTGAATAAGGTATGTTGCCACAGGTTGCTAGTGCTTATGGCACACGCATTAATAACTTTAGGTCAAATTACTAAGGCCAGTGAATAGGCTTGTGTCTGGAATGTCTCTGTTCTCAGTTATATCGCCCATTTGAGCAGTACTGATTTAAAGAAATATTTATTTATTTTTTATTATGGAAATGTATACTCCACTCATAATTTCTTCAGTATTATGCTGTCATCTGAAAACTGACAGGTTTAGTCAGGTAGTTTCCATATGCTGTAGAACTGGTAAAGCAGGTGAAGTGTAAAGTATTGTAAGAAAAAATGATGTAGATGTCGAAGATCTCAAAAATGAAGTTTATTACAGCATAGCAGTTGCAAGGGACACGAAGCACCTTGGGTTCACTGGCGTCAGAATGAACCCCGAACTCATCCCAGCGTAAACATTTTATACCGTCTTACATCTGTCTTTCCCCTCAGCATGTAAATGAAGCTCTCTCTTAAATGTAAATTGAGAATAACAAATTCGTCTTCTCTCTCAGCGTGGAGCTGAAACTGGTACCTCTGTGTCCATGTCTTTGATATTCTTTCAAATAAGAACGGCCAAATGTTTAAGGTGATAACATCTCTTTGAAGCTCCCTAATCAAGATGGTTCTTGAATACCCGCTGTCATTCCCACGCTATAGGTAATAAACGTGACTCTGTGATACTTTTAAGATTGTAAGGAATTAATTCTATGATAAATAAGCTCTTTTAAGTGAAGGAACATTTCAATATATCTATATTGGAGTGGAAGTTGGATCGGAGCAGACTAATTTCTTACAGTATGCTTTCACTCTAATTTACTTTCTGTTTATTTATTACATTTACATTCATTCATTTAGCAGACGCTTTTATCCAAAGCGACTTACAAATGAGAACAATAGAAGCAGTGAAACTAACAGTAGGAAAACAATATGCAAGTGCTATGACCCCTCTCAGTTTCATCTAACGCAGTCCATGAATTTAAAAAAATTTTTTTTTAGATAGAATAGAAGAGAAAGTGTTAGTGTTACTGGATCAAGTGCTGCCGTCTTCAGCTGTTTCTTGAAAGTGGCTACTGACTCCGCAGCTCTGGTTGAGTTGGGCAGATCATTCCACCAGCAGGGAACAGACTTGGTAAAGGTCCGAGAAAGAGATTTTGTGCCTCTTTGAGATGGCACCACAAGACGACATTCGCTTGCAGAGCGCAAGTTTCTGGATGGCACATAAGTCTGAAGTAATGAGTTTAGGTAAAAGGAAGCAGTGCCAGTGGTTGTTCTGTAGGCAAACGTCAGTGACTTGAATTTAATGCGAGCGGAAACTGGCAACCAGTGCAGTTTTGTGAGGAGAGGAGTGACGTGTGCTCTCTTTGGCTCATTTATTATATTATATTCATATTATAAATACATCATATTATAAATTAATTATACATTTACACTTTACAGTACAACTCACCTCAATTTTGTAATTTTTAAAGCATCATAATAATTATGAGCTGTTTAAAAGGACAAGAGGGTGTGGCCTAGGTTATGGCAAATAGTTGTTTTGTTTTTTTCAGCTTAGTCTTTTATCTGCTTATGAGATACATGGTGGTTGTTCAGCCTGGATTCATTCATTAGCTAACAAAATTTGAAATGTAAGTTCT